AGAAAAATTCAAATTGGCGAGAGAGGATCAGATTACAAGAGTCAATAATTTGTTATAGGATGTTAAGAATTAGCTTTTCCCATAGTTTTGAAATTTGCGGCAGAACGGTTATTGATCGATATCAAAAAACAATGTGTGGATGTTTTACTGCTTTAGATATCATTATTATCTGAAAGTGATATAGCGTCGCAAAGTACAATATTAAAAAAATTAAGTCTTGTTTTATGATATAAAACAAGAAAGAGCTATTATATAAAATTGTTAAAATAAAATAAAATATGTATATGTATATATGAAATTATACGCAATATTAAATGTATAAAATTTAATAACATTATGTTTCCTAATTTATGATGACCAAAAATGTTTGCTTTATAATGAATAACAAAATCTTACTATAGTCTGTTATATAAAACTAAACTAATCATTATTATTGGTTTTGAATACTCATTCTCTATAATAAATAAAAATTTTGTGCCTCGATACTAATATTAACTATTAACTAACAAACGCTTATATGTAAAATTCAGTTATCTAGCTCAAAAATGGTTATTTTTAATTTGAACCAGACCATACAACCAGACTAACTTATAATTAGATAGATTGATATATCTAAATAAATTGTTATCAAAGAGCTGATAACAATTATATTTTTTGGATGGTACCAAGAGTGACCGAATCTTCATCATGAAGAGTAACGTATTTATTACTGCACGTTTTTTGCTAGTGTGCATCGGGCTTCAAAGTCTTGTTGTTCATAACGATGATACAATATAATGGATTAGAACAACTACCACATAATTAGTTTATGTACCATCGAAACCTGTTATATTGTTTTTAAATTATCAAATTTAATCCTATAATTTGTAGCAAACCTCGAGTTTAATTTTATACGAGAATATCGTGTTCAGAACACATAGAACTGACTTTGTTTGATGCAAGTCTATTCGAATACAAACCAAATAGCTCGTTAAATGTAGAATTTAACTTTTAGTAAAAACATCAGCTTGGCTTATTTCGGCATCTTATAAATAGGTCAAACCATATTGTCTATTAAGTTTCCACACCCACTTTTAATGAGGCAACAATTTAAATTCAAAAATTCAATCCAGTTACTCACTCATCCTTGTGCTGGTGGCCACTCATTCATATATTCAAAGTAAAACGAGCAAAGAAGCATAAAATTTCACAAAGTATGTGGAGTGCTACTTTGTGCTTTACATGGAGAATCGCTTCAAATGCGTTTCAGTTTCAGTCCTTCACAGCACCCACTCGCCGTATATGCATGTGTCAGCAGTGACAGTTGTAGAAACAATGCAGTAGCAAAAGTTTGTGATTCTTTCCGAGCTTCCTTCCTTTAAAGCTACCAACGAGAGCCCACCAGCGTTCCACTGTCGACTTAAATGGGTGCATTGGTGTGCATTTTGTTTGTATTTGTAATTGTGTAATGCCAAAGTTGTATCGGAAATAGGTTAATCGATTTTTAAGAGGATCGCCATTGCAATCTCATTTGATATGCTTTGGCACACTTGTGTCGCGATTTTTGTTATATCCTGTGAGCCGCAGAATTACACTGCACATATAGTGGGTGCCCTCGCGGTGCAAATTATTTGCACAATGTTTTCAAAAGAATTTAAATGTTGTCAATAAATTACGCGCTTTTTGCATAATTATTTTGTTTGCCCGCGGAACTGTGACACTACCACATTGGAGTGCTTCAGTTGGAGTGCCACAGTTGCACAAACTTTTGTCAATTAAATTGAATTTGTAAAAGTAGAAATTCGGCGCAACTGCTCTGCGATTTAATTAAGGAAAATAGGAAAATAGGAAAATATTTGGAGCGGTTAGTTACAACTTTTCAACTTTTGCTGTTCGCGGAGCAATTAAAAGCATTTCACGTGAAAATATTATTTTTGCAAATTTATGCGTTTTTAATGACGCCAGCAGTTACCATGACAATAGATTCATCAAAGTCTAGACGAAATTAATTATGAATCTCGCAAAATTGCAACGGAAGAAAGATAAAATATTGCATAGTTATGGGCCTTAAGTACTCGCT